CATAAGAACGCGTCGATACCGTCCCCCCCACCCCCCCCCCTTCCTTCCCAAAAAAAATGCTAACTAGCTTATGATTTGTTTTTGTATTTTGTAGTTTTCTTTTCGGCACCACAATGGAAGGAAATTCCAGATATCACAAACGATGTATCTAGCCTCGGTCTACAAACCACTTAAGAAGTACAGCAGACAGTGAAGAAAAATTCCACTGGTCCAAAGGATGCAAGAGAAAGTTATCAATATAGGAAGATTACTCACTTCCAGATCTTCAAGAGTCAAACGCCTATTCTGTGCCTGGGCTTCCTGCCTTTTCAAAGCATACTCGGCCCAAACTCTCTGAGAGTCAATGAACTCACTCTCCCACGGCTGTCAAGGAGTAATAAATTAGTAATAGTAAAACTAATCTAGGTAGACAAGAGAAAAGTCAAAGCCAGTATCAAAAGTCACCTGTATGTATCGATAAAGATTTGGAATCAATTGGTCCTCTTCATGGCTCATTCCACTTCTGAAATGTGTCACACCAACATCTGTTTGCTGACTATACCTAAGATCACTCTGCGGGATCAATATATGACCCATTGACAACATTCCCAGCCCTCCAATTTCCTTTGGCGTGTAGAAAATAACAGGAGGAAACCTAGAGCATATTCATCATTAGAAGAGATGTAGAAAATATATTTACTGAAAATTCAAATAATTTCAGCATACGCTCACACGTATTCAAGAACTTACCTACTGGGCATTTTAGAGTTCAAACCAATCTTAATACGAGTTTGTATCTTGTTTTCACATTTGACCAGCAGGTCCAGTAATTCTTGGGTATGTACTGTTGCTTCACGGAAATATGTCATGAGGCCTACAAGAATAAACCAATAAACTTAGTGACAAGGATCCACTAGCAAGAGCCAAAGTTCAGGTTTGAAACAATTAATAGATAGAAATCAGGACAAGATATTACCAATAAGAGCAGTGTTCCATTTGTTAACAATCTTTGTGAATGTTGTAGAACCAGAGGACATGAGGATCTGCCTAACACGATTCTCAAACACCTTCATGTGCTCGTCATCTACACGCAAGAAGGCAACAGCTGTGCGTTCCTTAGTCTGCTCATTTTGTAGATTCCAGACTCCATCTCTTGTATTGCTGAATGCCTCTTGGGTCATTCTTATCTTAGGCAGTATCCGAACTTCAAATCCACACCTATATAATCATATCAAGGTTAGCTCATTAAATAAGATCCTCAACACTTCCCTTTAATAAAGAGTAAGCCGTAAACAGCTCATCGCGAATGAATATGCCGGTGAACTTTTAGCAGGTCTAAAATTAGGAAGATTAAGACACAAATAAGTTCCAACTCCTATCCCAAGATATTAGACACAATGGATTCTGGGGTAGAATTCAAAATATGGAATTATCCAGTCCCCATCACTACCCACCCGCAAGAATATCATTCAAGTACTCAACAGGATTCTCTAAATAGATATCACCATGCAAAAAAGCTATAACAGACAACAAACAGAAAGATGTACTTACATGCTGAAGAGCAAGTTTGGGTTATCTTTGCTATAAACAGAGACAAAGCTGTTTTCCCACTCCAATGTAGTAATACTTCTAGGCAGCCGATTCTTCATGTCCCAGAAGACACTTCTCCCAAGATTAACTGAAATTTGAATTTAACCAAAAAGAAAGTCAAGTTTCACAGTACAATGAAAATAAATCAACTCTCATTAAATTCACCTGTAATCAGAAAAAAAATACCAATTACAGAAGCTCAAAATTAAGGCACAACATAGAATAGCATATATGACAATTACCATCATGCTTCATGAGCCTCATTCTTGCGTCCCTTGGCCAGCATTTCTTGTTGTTATAACCAACCATGTTTTCATTGTTGGGATCAGGATGTTCAGTAAGATATCTTTGGATAAGGTCCCGAGCCTCTTCATGAGTGAAGCGAAATAATATATGCACCTTGTCAATGTAGCGAGAGTACAACCGGATAGGATGCCTCGTTTCCACTCTAGTATCACTAAAGGTTATGAATTCATTAGGCATCTGTGGTGGACCAGCAATTTCACTAGCTCGAGTTAAACCTAGGAGCAAAAGATCCAACACAAGCCCATAGTACTGCACAACAAATGAAGCAAATTGAAGACCACGTATCAGCCCGTATGAATTTGTGTGACTCATATCTTTGTAAGACAGCACAACGTTGTTTTTTGCAGTAACATAATCAGCAATATTGTGGTCCAGCACCAAACGCAGAAGCCTACACAAAAATTAAAGTAGGTTAACGCAATACCCAAAAAAGAAAAGAGAACCATTATGAAATCTAAATACCAGCAGCTCTCAACAACAAATACCTGTTCAACATGGTCAGGTCAATCTTTTCAAAGAATTTCTCAAACTTCGTCTGCAGCATCACCACACACTGTCCTTCACTGGTGTCCCATACTCCTTGCAAATTGTTTATGCCTTGACACCATTTATACACTAATAGTGGTGGTGGCTCTGAATCGGCAGGCTTAATCCAATTTGGGAAGAGATGGCGCTTATCACCTTCATACCATAGGTACTGATCCAGGTACGCATCAGTAATCTTCTCAAGTGGTTCGATCTCATAAACAGGAATCAGGTAACTGTACAAGTCCATGAACTCGATGCCGACCTGTGAAATGCAATCATCAGTCCATGCTTAAAGAAAGACATTCTTACAGAGACTACCAAACTAAATAAGAAGGGCTCTCTCTACACTCTTCAGCAACTTCCAGGAAGTTATTAGAGCACACATCTTATCTTGTTTCTCTAACCCAAATTTCAATTAACTAACACACACACACAGAAGTAACTCCAATATAAATTTAATCCTAGCAAGGATTTTTTCCCAACATATCATAGACCTAGGTTTTTTCAGCAGAATTTACATGATACCAAATTTCTGTGTGCAAAAATTTATGGGCCAACTGGACAGTGGTAGCAAGAGTGGTCTAACTATCTGATATCCCTGATTCTTGTATGACCTTTCAGCAATTACTCAATCTCGTTTAGGCTATTTGGATTAAGTAAATACTTAGGACATAAACTTTATAAACCTAGGATAATGTGACAAGATCATAGTTGCTCCCACCAAATCAGTACATTGAGCTCCTTAACACTAACATGTATTTCAAATAGTGAAACTTACTTCTTTGAAGGCACGCTGAGTAAGCAGGTGACGCTTAATCCTTGACAATGCCTCATGCGGATTATCATAAGCTTGCTCAATGAGGCCCAACTCTTCCCTTTGCTGCTGGTTTAACCTCACAGCCACACTGTAAGATTCTTTCAGTCTCTCAAGGGCAAGGATAAGTAGCTTTGTGTCATGCTTGTATGACAATGGAGGGAATGGGATAGGAGAAAACTTCCTTGACTCCAACCAATGCACAGTGGTAGTATAAATAGCTACTGCTTCTTCTGGAGTAACATACGGGCCGTCTTTCAAGTAGTTATGTTGCCGCTCCTGTCAATTGAAGGAAATCACAAAGCAACATGAATTACCACCAAGCTTATCTCCAATAAGCAGATGTTATAACACCAATGCACTTTTCTCAGTAAAAGAAACCCACAGATAATATCAGTAAAACTCACCTGCTCAGCCTTCAGCCAAAGGCGAGTCAATCTTCCAAGGTTTTTACGACACACAGTCTTGTCAACAGTTGCTCCTCTTCTTATACGTTCACGGTTGTAGTGAGCAACATTTGTCCACCAATCAGCTTTTGATTTGACATAACGAAGAATCATGTTCTCAATAGGAACAGGCAAACCTGGGACCTAATAAAACAAATAGCCAAAAAAATTAATTGCATATATGTAGTCTAAAGCGAAACTCATTGTTACAGAGGAGGGGGAAAAGAGAAGAATAGTACCTTCCAAGGAATATTTGCCTTCCAACAACGCCATGCTTCACTTAGATGCTGCAAAATGGTTCTCGCTTTATTTTGCTTGATACCCTCTACAGTAAAGAGGCACTATATTAGCAAAAAGATTTGGTCCGAGTAATGTAGAGAAACGAAAGCATCCCAAGAAAGATGGACAATCAATGATAGAAGATTATCACCTGGCATAGCATCAAGGACATCGTGCATTACTGCAGCACGGAGCTCCAAGTCAAAGTGGCTTTCAACACGTTGCTTTGTGACAGTTTTGGCCACCCCCTTCGAATGGCGACCCTCAAATTGCCTCGCCAATAAATTTCCCAACCATCGTTCCAAAAGAGGCACTATACCCCGAAGGAAGAATAACCACACCCTCCACATAGGTGCCCAGAAACCACAACCAGGACCTTTTCCAACTGGCCCAGTATTGAATCGATAATAGATCAAATGTTTCAAATCCTTACACATTCGAATCTGCCTCATAAGCCTGTACTTATAACGGTACATACCCGTCAACTGACCAACATGTGAAAAAATGTATTGCAATCCATCTGCCAGCTGAAATGCATCAACATTTCCCAGACGGAACTGAACATTGGCATCAACAACTAGTTTTGTCAAACGCAGAATTTCACGACAAAGGTGGAAAGCATTACCAAACCGGGATTTCTTACGTTCCTTTGTAGTTAGTGTCTTAACAGGCTTCAAATTAAAATTGTAATCAAGGTGAAGATAATTCAGGTTTTTCCTATGGATCAAGAGATTCAGCATATTGTATCCCTGCTTGCAAACTTGGAGACCAGCTTCAGCCCAATCAAGTTCTGTGGTTTGGAAAAATTTTGTGGCCTGAAGTGAGCGGAAGAGGTGCTTCTTCTTCTGGGCCTTGGGAGGTCTATGATGCAGTTCATTCAACACAAAACATTTCAATAACTTCTGATAACTGACACGCACCTTGACAGGATATGATGGAGGACTGGAGGAAGCCAAAATAGATAGTTAAATACATTTACAGTATAATGATTAACTTGCTATAGCAAAAGTAAAAGTGAAGATGGAAACCATACCAATGCTCCTTAAACCAATCTGACACAAGGGGTATATCTTCAGCACGTCTTGTCCGACCAGATCTCATGTTAAATGGGCGTGGGGCAAACAAGAGGGAAATACCAGCAGCAGTAGTATCAGTATAGATTGGAGTCTCGTTCAGCAATGGCTCAACACCCTCAGGCAAGGCAAAGTCATCATCATCGTCATCCTCAGGAACTTTCTTCTCTCGGCGGTCCTTGGTGACTATGGGATGTATAAGCGGATCATAATAGAAAGCAGGTAGATCTGGATCCTCTGTTTTTATGTACATGATCATCGGAGTGTGATATATACAAAGCTTCACCTTTCTTGGTCTGTTGTTATAGAGGTGAGGGAAGGCAATTCTGTATTCTGTCCTCAGCGGTGACCTGATGATCAATTTGTTGATATCATTAAACTCATTCCAGTCTTCATCTCCTTTCTCCATGTCACGATATAAAGGTTCGAACTTGGGCCCACCTGCAGCGTAAAAGAAGCTTCTTAGTGAAAACAGTCCACCAACCATGAAGATTCAATACAACAAAAATAACTACGTCTTTATCCCAAACAAGCTGGGGTAAGCTAATCCTCTCCGACCATGTTACTTCATTTAAACTCATCTCATGCCACTATTAATGTAAATGCATCAAGATTCAACACATACCATGAAAAATTATTCCCTAATCCGGCCCATCCTAGGCCAGGAAAAAATGGACAAAAAGTGATGCTAGAAGGCGATCCTGTTGGAATGTGACACATTACCTAAATTAGGAGAGGATAGCCAAATATGCAGGTGAACATGGAAATACCCAAACAAATACTGAACAGATGGGAGAACTCACCAATATCATAATTGGTTCCTGAACTACCTAGCACTCAGGTATACCTTCTCGATAAGATTATGCAGATACTAGGCAGAAAAAGAAAAACTGAATTTATTGAGAGGATACTGATCTTCAGCTAGGCAAGCTGAAGCAGTTCAGACCACTAGCATTTAAGGGGCACACCAAATAGCTATGAACTTAGAAGACAGAAACACGTAACTAACGACTCCATTGAGCATGTTCCTTACCAGGTATGCACATATTCAATGCTTTAGCAGTGAAAAACGACTCCATATCAAACAAGTAGAAGTAATTGCGATCAGTCAGATCCGAAAGCAGCTGTCCAGCCAGCCGGTGCAGTGTAGCCATTATAGGGAGGGACAAATGCCACCTGCGGTAACTAGGACCGTTAATAAGCTTTGTTTTCACCAATGGCTTATGGTCATAAAACCAGTTATAAACAGCTGAATCTTCTTCTTCATCCATCTCCAACTGGATTGGCTCCAAAGGATCAACATCCAAAAGATTATCAGCATAATCTAATGGAGGCTCCTCATCGTCAAAAGGAGGAAAACGCATTCTCTTGAAATGCCGCCGGTCTCTCTTCTCCCTTCTCATCATGATCCACATAGTGCCCCACTGCAAGATTTTGTGATTATGAATCAGTCCAGAATATATCGTTTAGTGGAGTTAGAAAGAAACCAAAGCAGGGGTCCAGTAGCATACCTGAGCCAGATATATAGGTTCAACAACCCATGGTATCTCATTAACAAATGTAATAGCACCAGTAATGTGGTACAGTATTTTCACATCTCGAACCTGTTAAAACAAAAACATTATAGAATAAAATGAAGATTCAACTACTAGAACAAGACACAACACAATTTGTCAAATAAAACAATCAGCAAGGCTGCAGGAAGTACCTGCTCCCACGGCATAGGCATGTTCTCAAGGAGTTTGTAAACAGCATGAGGAACAAATTTAAGAGCTCCGAGATACACACGTTTATCATGACGATATTTTTTTGATGACATATCCCCATGGTCCCTGTAAGATGTATGAGCTCGATAAGCAAAGGAGAGAAAAATACAACAATATCACTCTTCATAAAGCTGAGCAAACATTATCATCAAAGTCATGATTTATATCAGTAAAGGTGATGTTGAGACAATGTAGAAAACCCCAGTTCTTCTATACTGACATCTGAACTTTAAGGGGATATATAGGTATGGGTTAAGGCACTTGGACTACTATCCTATCAGAACTCACTCAGGTAACAAGTTGTTTTTTCCTTCATTCTCTCTTTTTAATTTTTAACAGCCCTCATCATTGGATGATTTCAGGTTCTACTTTCCAGGTTTCGAGAAGTTGGTTGCCCCCATGGTGCAAGTGTTTAAATTCATTTACACACAATTTGAAACCACAAAGATACTCCAGGTGTTCGAGAAGTTGGTTGCCCCCATGGTGCAAGTGTTTAAATTCATTTACACACAATTTGAAACAACAAAGATACTCATGAGGCCCCAAAAATTAGAACTCCAGAATCCACATTGTTAAATATATATAGGCAAAAAAATTATTTAACTCACACCTATAATGCATTTATTCACGATGCAAACACCTTCCAGACTCCAAAACAATTACCTAATAAACTAAACCACAACACCTCATAAATAGATTACCTGCATTTTCTGATAATATACACTTATGCACAAATTTAACGAGCAAAAAAGCAACAAAAAAATACCTAATAATCTTGCGAACATGCTCCGGAGGCATATCCTCCTTTTGCGTCTCCACAAATCCAAATTTGCGCTTATCACTATACCGCTTAGAGTTAAGCTGCATCCATTTCCTAGCTTTCTCTTCAAGCTGAGCCTCAGTTGGCAAAACAGTATAAGAAGGCGGTGGCAGAGGCGGAGCCGGTCCTCCACTACTACCGCTTGTACCAGGAGGCATCATTACTGGTCCTGAGCTTGTACCTGGAGGTGGCGGCATCATAGACGGCGGAGGCGGTCCTCCACCAGGCGGAGGCGGTTGCATCATTGACGGAGGCGGCGGTCCTCCAGCACTACCGCTAGTACCTGGTGGTGCCATGTTACTATTGTTCCACATATCTTGTCCGTTTCCACTCCACATAACTACTTCGTGCAAACTCGAAATCTCAAACTACAAAATCTCGGTTTATCTCTATACAGGGAATTGAAATACAAAACCCTAGCTGAGTACGAAACTCAATATACGTCGGATGTAAAAATGTTACCAGAGTTTTTGGCTCACCGGAGATTCACGGCGGTTCGGTGGCCGTAAAAATGGATTCACAGAGGCGACGACGGCAAGCGAGGGGAAATAGAGAAGTGAAGTAGAAAACTGGCTTCGGAGCTGGCTTATGGGTTTTTATATCAAATCTGCTCAACACCGACTTGAAGGAGTGTGGTTTTTTGGGTGCGGAGTAAACTTCGACTAGCAGAAGATTTAGCTATTTTCCCCCTTTTTGTCATGAATATTTTATGGTCGTTTGTCCATAAAAAAAAAATTTGTATTTGTCCTTAAAAATTTGCAATATCAAAAGTAATTTTGACTACTTTTTCAAAGTTTACTGATTTTTTTCTTCACTAACAAAATTGCAGTATTTTTTCAAGTAAAATACATATTCAAATATAATTATAAATTTTAAATACTATGAGCAAATTACTCCTAAATATAATCCAAAAATAATTTTAATTATTTTTATTCTTTTATTTAGTTTTGCATTTATTCGCATTGTTCATGCATATTTAGAATTATTTTAAATCATAAAAATCATCAAAAAAATATTTTATCTTTCATTTAGTGTGTTAATTGCATTTAGGAATTAATCATAGGTTAAAAGCATGGTTAAAACAAAAATCACATAAAATATACATTAACTTTAATCAATTAGTTTAATTAACTAATTAAAATGCTAATTAAGTCGTTTTGCAAAATAAATTCGATTAGAAGTAATGTGGCTATTTTTGAAAGATCAAATAAAGAATAATAGAGTGTGTTGCTTCTTGTTCCAAATTGGACCAGTTTCAGCGGCCCAAAAATCGTTCAAGCCCACAACTAATCTGCCCAACTGCCCGGTCCAAATCTCCCTAACTTTCAGTCACCCAAACGACGTAGTACCGTATCAATACTACGTCATTTTTTCTTCTTCACCTATTAAAACAAACTATTTCCCCTATTCTCTAAGGAACGGACCCCTTCTCTCTTGGAGAACAAAAACCTAGCTGCCTCTAATACTCTCATCCTCTCAGTCAGCCGCCCACCCTCACTCTCAAAGAACGGAAGAAGGAAATATGAAAATACTCACGCCCGTTTTCCTTCCCCAACAAACTCTCACCCTTACCTCACTTTACTCATCTCTATATATCTAGAAGAAGGGGGAAATCCCAAAAAAACAGATCTGAAAACAAAAAAAACGCTCTGAAAAACAAAGAAGAACATGTAGAATTTTCAACTGTTTTTACTCAAGTTTCGTTGTTGTTTGTTCATCGCTGCTGAGCTCTAACCAGCTGATTTCTTTGCCTTTATTTGGCTTAGATTTAATCTTTGCACCATTATGTATGTTTTCCCCAAACTTGTATTCTTTAGATTTGGCCTAGTATTATGTCTGCCTGACTTTCTGAGCTCAACAGTTCTGGACTAGCTTAAATTTTACTTTAACCTTGTCAATCTGTATAGTTCCAGCATTTGATTCCATATTTGGTTTTCGATATTCCATACAATCCATTTCATTTAGCTTCGGCAGAAGAATTTTTTTTTTCGACGGCTTGATTTAACTTGAGGCAAACTTTTAGATTAGTTTTAATTCGCAACTTCTTATAAAATATTAGCCTTTAACCAAGACATAATGCAATCACTCTTATGAACAAATTAACGATCCAATCCATACTATCTCACACTCCTATCCATAATTCATGGTCTCACATTAATCTCAAATCTTAGGAAAGTAATTAATTCATAAATATTGTAGAATGCTTTAGGCGTGCTTTAAAATCTATTATCATGATTATGTACACATTCGCGTGACATAATTACGTCTACCAAGAAAAAAAAAATAAAGTGCGCAGTCACGCGATTTTGGCTAAACAACCTTAATATAATAAAGTGTGATAAATTGTGTACACGTACGTGTGACATGATTTTAATGCCTCAAATAAAATGGAGTTACACACATGTAGTCCGTTTCTGTCACGACCCAATTCTATAATAGGCAGTAATGGCGCCTAACGACCCAATTCTATAATAGGCAATGATGGCACCTAACAACGCCGCTAGGCAAGCCAATTGCGGACTAGTCGCGTGATTCCTCTTTTTAAAAGTTGTTTCCTATTAATTAAACTCTCCTTAAATTGAAAGATTTAAGAAATCGTAGATATAAAACAAATAGTATGAAAGCAACTAAGTGCAGTCATAATCATGAAACAAACCCAAAATTTACAAGTCTACTATTGTGTGCCAAGACCCGGTGTCACAAGTGTATGGGCATTCTAGTAGAATATACAAAAATAAATAATAGTCTACTGTCTGAAGAGAAACAGACAGAAAAATATAAGCAAAGTAAAGACTACGGCTGCTGCAGAACGGCTCGGAAGGCAACTCACCGTGAGTCTCGAACTAGTAGTCAAACGAGTGCGGCGGACTGGTATCCAGATGCATGTGCCTCAAATCCTACAAATTCAAGTGCAAAAGTGTAGCGTGAGTACATAAACAACATGTACCCAGTAAGTATCTAGTCTAACCTCGAAAAAGTAGCGATGAGGGTCGACTTCGACACTTACTATGGGCCAACAATATAATGATATGAGATTCTAATTAAACATGATACGTTTAAATGACAATAGAACTCAGAGTAAGAAATAAATAAACAATGCTCTCACTATTAGTAAGAACCGAATCATTTCCCTCATCAACATATGTAATTTCTCAAGCCAATGAATTAATATCAAATATAAAGGGACATCCAGTGTTATTATCATGCACGAATTTATGTCGAGGACGTATTGTTGATACCCAATTTTTTCCTCATATATTTTAAATATGCGTATATACCTTCAAAATAGTGCACATGCATTATCATTGGATTCACAAGCATGCACAAGTATTTTTCACAATTTTTCTATAATTTTTAAAGGCTTTAAATCAATTTATTCTTGCATTTTTATTATACAAATATTCAATAATTATCCTTCAAATTATTTTTATGATGATTTAACTATCTAAATTCATCAGTTATGACAACATAATATTCAGTGTATTTTTTATAATTTCATTTATACTTTTTAGGGCTAAATTGCACATTTTGCAATAATAGCCCATATGCATATATAATTACATTATTTGCACAAAAATAACTTTTTATATTTTTATAATGTTAAGTAATTATTTTAAATCACTTTCATTCACAAGTGATATTTTTTTATTTATTAATTATTTTTTATAAATTATTTATTTGTTAAAATGGGTATTTAAATAATAGCCCCTTTTTCCTTAATCATTTTCGGACCTAACCCAATTACCCCAGCCCGGTTACTTAAACTCCTAAGCCCAATACCCCTATACACCAGCCCAAAATACCCCAACCCAAACCAAATTAACCCAACCCCTAACCCAGTCGGTACCCGTCTACTATAACCCGCCCCGGTCCCTTTTAAATCACAACTGTTGATCTTTCAAGATCAACGGCCCACATCCCTTCTCCCTATTTTAATTAACCAAACTCCTAACCCTAACTCTCATTCACCCACACCTGCTGCCTCTGGATTCTCATCCCTTCCCCTTCTTTCTTTGTCAAACCCTAGCGTCGTCATGTCACGATCCGGATTTCCCGCCCTCGGGGTCGTGATGGTGCCTACTCGTGGTAGCTAGGCAAGCCTACTCAATTACTCTTCCATTACTAAACAAATCTTTTAACAATTTATAGCATCAATATAGAACATGAAATTTAATAATAACAGCGGAAGTCCGAATCATAATCCGAATCAAAACGCGGAACAGTCAACAATAGCCTCTACCCAAGACTGGAGTCACATTACTCACGAACTGCTAAGAGTTTACTAAATACAAAGGTCTGAAAGAAACATATAAACTGTTTGTCTCGAAAACAAGGAGGCAACAATATAAAAGAGAAAATAAGGGAGAGACGCCGGGCCTGCGGACGCCTGCAAGGCTACCTCGGTCTCGTGATAATGAAAGCCTGCTCCCGTGCTAATGCTGCTGCTGCTCCTCAAAACCTAGACCTATGCAAAAATGCACAGAGTGTAGCATCAGCACAACCGACCCCATGTGCTGGTAAGTGTCTAGTCTAACCCCGGCGAAGTAGTGACGAGGCTAGACTGGACACCACATAAACCTGTGCAATTATAAATATACAACGGAATCGAAATACCAGGCAATTAACAATAAGGGAGGGGAAACATGCTATGGGGAGATAGCAATATTAACAGTAATCCAGCGTAACAATCTAAAGCAGCATAAATTTACGGTGAACAAGGAACCAATACTCAATATAAACACCTTTGTATCAATAATTGTTGCGGCGTGCAACTCGGTCCACAATTACCATTGTTGCGGCGTGCAACCCGATCCACAATTACCACTGTTGCGGCGTGCAACCCGACCCATACCATTTATCATTGTTGCGGCGCGCAACCCGATCCTCAAATATCATTGTTGCGGCGTGCAATCCGATCCTCAAATATCATTGTTGCGGCGTGCAACCCGATCCTCAAATATCATTGTTGCGGCATGCAACCCGATCCTCAAATATCATTGTTGCGGCGTGCAACCCGATCCTCAAATATCATTGTTGCGGCGTGCAACCCGATCCTCAAATATCACTCGACAGTCTAGCTCCCCAAACAATAGTCACAAATAAGGGGCATAAAAATAAACAAATATTGGAAGAAATCCCGGCAAGGGAAAAGAAACCAACAAGTTCAATACAACGTCCCGACAAGGGAAATACCATCAACGTTTTCTCTTTCTTTCATTTCTTACGTTATAATCCACTTTACCATTTTGAGCCAACGCTCCAAAGAACCAAGTCATTTCATATACTTTCAATATTCGTATCACAACTCGAGCCAATGCTCCTAGGAATTCAAATGATCATATTGTCGTTCACATATTATTCACAACATATAGAAATCCTCCAATAAGTACAAAAATTTCAACCAAATCATGGTAACCACATTATGAGGACTCACGGTCATGCTAGACACCAATGTATAGATACTCGTCACCATGCCTATACATCGTACTTGATCATTTAGCAATTAGCAAACAAGACTCAACTCCTATTCCCTCAAGCTAGGGTTAAACCAAACACTTACCTCAAAGCCTTGAATTCCGCTTAATCCTCAACTATCGCTTTACCCCGCGATTCCACCTCCAATCGCTCGAATCTAACCACAAATTGCTCAATTACTTTAATAAACTCT